GACACAAGCATGCCAACATGCATGTGTATCTTGTTTAAATTGCGAATGATGTGTGTGTATTTGTGTGTGAGACAGAGCAGACCACGGGGGTATTTGTTGACCAGCTGTAGTAAAGTGATTAGCTTGTTCTTTGCTGAATGACAGCAGCACTGCTGTTCCAAATGCCCAACAAGGAGAATGGCTGGCTCTCAGCTTTCCTCATTATTTTTGTTTTCCCAAGTCAAATTTTCTCTCTTTGCTTTTCCTTTACTGATCTCGTGGTTTGCTAAAATCATGTGACAGCTCTGCGATGTTTCTATTCTCATCCAAGGTTTTCTTTACAAACTTTGCTTGTTTAAACTTTTAAATCACAGCAAGTTTAGTTTTTAATATTCTTAAATTTAATACACATCCTCGTAGGAGTACGAAGAATCAGAGCAAATATTTTCCTATTTGAATCTACTTGCACACACATGCACGTACGCACATCTTTGTCTTACTATATTTGTGTGAACCCGTCATTGACAAAATGCATTCCCTAGGCCTTAACCATCACAACTGAACACGTAACCATAACCAAGTCTTAACCCTCAAACATTTGGTCTTCAGCATTCTAGCATTTTGGTCCCCACAAAGCTGTCAGACCCCACAAATATAATAAAACCACCACACACACACACACACACACACACACACACATAGACAGACACACACACACACACACAAACACACACACAGACACACACACACACACACACACACACACACATATACCCAGAGTAAAAACTGAAAGTTGCTTCAGGCACTTTGTGGCCTTTGTTGCCGTAAATTACCTCAGTTCTTGATTAAACAAAACGTCAAAGTGTCTAAGCTCTCAAGTTGCCTAACACTTGCGCACACACATATGCTGACATAAATGGTTACACATACACACAATACGCTGTGAAACACACACAAATTCACAATTACTCATTGGTTTGCTAGTTAATGATTTGACTTTGGAGGAGAGGGAATTTAATGGTTGACTAGACAGACTTTTGCGAGATGTTCAGCATCCACAACTTTTACCTCCTCTTCACCCTGCTCCTCCTCCTCCTCCTCCTCCTCCTCTCTTCCCTATCCTACCTTCTGCCCTCCATTCTGCATAGTAATGCCTTTTGAATTGAGCTGTTCATTCAGCCAAGCACAGATAAGTGCCGAATAGAGGGATGAACACAATAGAGAAATAAAAGAAGGAAGCTGGGAAATGGGGATGGGGGATGGAGTTTTTGGGAGACAAAAATGGTTTTGTTCCCTCTCTCTTTCCTTCTCTCTCTCTCTCTCTCTTATACCTTGACAGGGGCAAGGAGAGAAGAGTGTCAGCCGGACAAAAAAAAGTAAAGTCTTCAGCACGCACTGAGCTAAATCCTCAGAAGATATACAGTCTTCAGAGTTTTATTAGGATTTTATTTCCAACTATGAAATGAGCTTAAGGGTGATATCAGGTTTTTAATGTTACAGAAAGGTTTAAATGGCAAGGTGGTGTGCGGGTGGTTGTGTCTGTGTGCACATATGCATATGTTCTTGCATGTGTGCATGCAAATTGATACATTTGTGCTTTTTGTGCTTCAATCCGGAGCCAGGGCCACAGGCATTTTGGAAACAGAATAGTGAAGGACAAACATGAAACAGAGAGCACAGGATGAGAAGGAGGATGGAGAAGATTCGACAGCAAAAGAGAAGAGAGAAAGATGTTGTAGAGAGAGAAGCTGAGAAATGTACAAACAACTCCACAGGATGGTGCTAGCCCAAGTGATTAAAGACATATTTCAGTTCTGGGGACATTTTTAACCGTTTTTTTTCTTCTCTCAGATGTTTGACGATATGTTTAACTGTGAATTTAGTTTATGGATTTCTCCGAGAGTTCAAAGAGGGCAGCTAAATTTTTTTTAGTTTTTGTGATTAAGAAATATTGACTACAGAGAAAATACTGTGTGCACTTCTGTTTGATATAATTTTTTTTTTTAAGTATATTTTTTGGTCTTTTTATGCCTTCATTGATAGTACAGTAGAGAGACAGGAAACGGGGAGGCAGAGAGAGGGGGAATGACATGCAGCAAAGGCCGTCCGATGCGGGACTCGAACCGGGGCCGACTGCAGTGAGGACTGTAGCCTCTACACATGGGGCGCCTGCTTAGACCACTACGCCCCACGACGCCCCATGTTTGATATAATTTTAAGGGGTAAATTGCTAAGCTTGTTACACCAGTGTTCAGTCTTTGGAAAGATTAAACATATTTTCCTACACATGAATAGAGATACTACTTGATCTCATGGTGGTGAATAAAAATCTCACCACTGGACATATATTCAAACTGTGTGCAAAAAGGCGACAGGGAAAAGTCAAAATGTTCTCAAAACTACGCTAACCCATGTGCTCGAAAAACCATTCAGTAACAGGGACTGAGTGGGAACATTACGAATGGTTTCCTTTTTATGAATAGCTATAGCTCTGACATAACCAACAGGAAACCTGTGTTTGATATAACTGTAGTTTTAATTGCTGGTTACACCTTGTGAATGTGTTGCAAACCTCTCTTTCAAAAACAGCGATCTTCCCTTGAGTAAATCACTTAACCCAGATCTTCAGGACCTGTGCACCTACAGAGAGTAGAAGCTGCAGTTAAAGTATACTGAAGGGCTCCCCGATGACTCATGTGGAGCTGGGTGAATTTGAAGCAGGGCACCAATAAAAAAGTGTGTGTGTGTGTGTTTGTGTGCTCAGTTAACCTTTTCTGGATAAATAAAGATTAAAAATGAAAGTGCAGTAAAGGCATAGAGGAGATAGAGGCACTGTTCACCTTGTGTCCACTCCCTCGCTACGGCTGAAGTTCAGTGGCTCTGAGCTTAGTGTGAACTCTTGACCATCTCCTTCTTTTCCGATAGCATATCTTCAGGGGTACATGCTTGGGTCACCGAGGAGTCAGCTCAAAGCAAACTGTCTTTAGCAGAGCTTTTTTCTGCCCTCACTCATCCACTGCCCAGCCCACATCGCGTCTTATCTAAAATAACACATGGCTGCCTGGTGTCTTGCGCTCATCTAGTTACCTGCTATGCTGTTAATGATGTTTCTCCATAATAGTTTGTGCTAACTGTACACATGTATGTGGAAGACAAAGAGGTTATGGTTTGGAGTGGAGAAATAGTTCAGGGACTGTGGTGAGGTGCATTAGTGTGCAGTTAGAGGCTCTAAATAATACTGTGCCAGGTCAAGTGAAATAAGAAACACTAGGCAAAAGGAACAGATAGGAGCAAAGAGGAAAGGAAAGAAGAGAAGAGGTGTCCAAATACCAGATAATTTCAGCCAGAGCTTTTTCTGGGTTCTTTCTGCCTTAGGTTTCTCAGAAACAATGTCTTGATTCTCTTATCCACAGTGTGAACAAGAAAAATACATATGTACGTACAACATTTAAACATAAGCTAATATCATTGCTTTTCAGTAATCAACGCAAAGTTATAATACAATTACAACAATAATGGAACCAATTAGTAAGCTTTACCTTAACTGAAAGCTTATAGAATGGTCCCAGTAAATCTTTATAATCATAATCATTATAGTTCTGAAGAACCAACAAATATACTGTAGCTTGATGACACTTTATTATTAATTCTGTTATTATTTCCTCACCATCATTGGTGAATTGCTGCCATGCTGTTGCTCCAGGCACAGGAGGAACTGTTAAACCATGTTCCTCAAAGGAACATGTAACAGTGCAGTAGATAAGCTTGGATATGGAAGGTAATTGTGCATTTTTTGACTAAAGCATGAAACCTTCTCAACTGCTTCTATAAACCATGAAATTTATTTTCAGACATGGAGGCATTTCAGATGTAACCTCTGGGACAGGGCAGAGCCACCTGGAGTAATGAGTGTGGTCCAGACCAAACTAGCATGCTAACTTCTGTTAGACTGTTCACTAATGTGCTGGCTAGTCATGTAATTCCATAGAACACACAGCAGAAGTTGTCAGTGTTTTTATCAAGCTATAGATAGATAGATAGATAGATAGATAGATAATTTATTTATCCCCTAGGGGAAATTCATGAATATGCTGCCTTAACACCTGGAAATGGTGGGGTATGCAGTCCCCCTGTAAAATTGATGCTCTAAGCAAAATGATGTTACATGGCCACAGCAGCAAATACACATATTTATGGAATCTTGGCAAATATATAAATGATTATAATGGAGAAATGGTGCAAAAACTGGAAAATGCAATGCTGAGGTCAATGACCTCTCAAGGTCACCAGAGGTCAGATACAAATTGCCTCCACATCTGAAATAAAACCTTGGGGTAAGTAGATTATATGCTGAAACTTTCATGCTTTAGTCATAAAATGCACATTTTTTGCCTATCTATATAAGGAAAGAATATTGTATTGATAAAAGCCAAGAACAAAGCTTTCATCAGTGTGATCTTGTGTCACATACACTTTTACTGTATGCACAAAGTTAAGTAAATAACTCCACAGACATTGGACAATTTTGCAGAGGCACAAGGTTCTCACTGGCTTTGTAAATATTTGTTTTGTTTGTAGACAATATTTGAAATTGTTTTCTGGAGGCTGGATTTTCAGACACTGCGTCAACTGAATGTGTAGAATATGACATGCTAATACGACAAGGAAATCTAAATCCCATCAGTTACAAGCCATTAATCTTTGAGGACCAACAAATCAGCCTAAATGTGAAACGAAGTGACATTGAGGTTCATTTTATCAAGTTTGATACAATGTGCAATTTCCTCTTTAAATCCTCTGCAGTCAGAATTTCTTAAAGCAGGCATATTAGATTTGTAGACTCATAATTATTTTGTATGTTTCGTGAGTGTGCACCTTCAGGGCAGGATGTGGTGAGTCGAACAAATGCTCTTGTTCTAACTCCTGAAGCTGTTTGTTTGACTGCATGACTGTGGCTTTGATGTGTTTAATATCATTGTGTGTCTGTCTATGTGTGTGTACGTGACTGTTTGTGTGCACAGGCCTTCTCTGGGAACTCCAATTCGGAGAGCGCAGTCCGCCATGAGCTGCAGCAGGAGATCGTGGCTCGCTTCCTCAGACTCGTCCCGCTGGACTGGAGCGAGGAGGGACGGATTGGTCTTCGCATAGAAGTCTACGGCTGCTCCTACTGTGAGTGGAGACAAACACACACCTACACTGCGAACCTGTTTGCTGTCATTCTGTTTGTACTGCATCAAGTATTATTACCATTTACTATCATAGATCCATAGGGAGAACCTAATGATGGTTTTTCAGCTCCAATCATGTCAGAGAGTTTTTTCTTTATGAGCTACTGAACTTCCGTGTAAGGAATCAAACACAAACTCAGCCTGGAAATGTATGTGGAGAAATATGCGTTGCATAGTTATAGACAGACAGACACATATGGATACACAGATATCCACGCACTGTCTCCTGCTTTGTAAGAAATGTATCATCAAGGGAACTAACTCTCTCGCAGCCTCTTTGCTCTCATCCTATTAAAGGCTGCCAAATTGATTTTGATAACAATTTTCAATTAAGGCTCTGCATAAATTACTGTTATAAGTGACACGCGTACATCTTTCATTCTAGAGATGCGATTACACTGTGTGTGGATATGTCTGTGAGTGTGTATGTCTGTGTGTGAATACAAGGGCATGCCTTGCATTCCAGTCAGTCCTCAGGCTTTTGATTGTATTTCCCTTGTTTCATTTCCTACCCATGTAAAAGAAAAGCAAGTCAGTAATGATAAGGAATGACAAGATGCAATACACACACACACACACAGCAGACACACGGATGCACACGTGTATGCACAGATGAAGAAGTGTATACCCATCACCTCTCTCCTCACACACAAATATCACTGCACCCACTAACTTCAACCAGAATGTGCTTCACTTCTAATAGATCTGGCTGCTTTTGTGCTAAGTTAAAGTCAACTTGTTGCTTTTTTTACTAGAATCACTAGAACCACTATATACTAGCAGTGTTGGTCTCACTGGTCTTAATATGGACTATAAAAAACGAATATAGGATTCTGGGGATTCGGGGAGATTTGCATAGACATTTAATGCCACATTTTCTTCGAAGGCACATTTTACTTTAAGCCACTTTAACTATGAATAGTGCCTGGCAGGTTCACTGTGATAATTCTGTTATTCCTGGTTTTTCTATAAGACAATAAAGAAGCCAGAGAGGATAACTTCTGAATGACAAGATAACCATGGACACCATCAGTCTGATGCAGAAACACTGAAGCAGGTAGCAATTAGTGCAGGCCCTGCTTTGATTATTTCATAATTCATACTATTCCTGCAAAGTATTGTCAGAGAATGTTACTAGTTCGCTTTAGACTGGGCTTGATCCAAGTTGGCTTTTTAACACTGATTTTTTTGAGTAGATTAGACCGACTAAAGATAGATTTGATTTATTTATTCTGGAGTTTCTCCACAGACTTGTCAGTAGTCTTCAAACAGCGTGTCAGTTATTAACATAATATTACAAATCTTCCTGCAAAGGGCCTTCTAAAATTCAATACCTGCTGGCTGTAATTGCTATCTGAATGTGTAGAGGGTTTTTGCATTAAAAATTTAATCTCTTTAAGTTACCATTTGCTTTGCTGCAGGATCCCGGATGCTGGTTCACTGTCATGGGACAACTGAACAGAACAGAGCAACCACTAATATTATGCTAATTACAACCCATAGTTAGTTTTTAATGTTAGGCAATCTCTAGCGGCTGTAGTAATTATGACAGGAGCAAAGGAGAAAGTTAGGTGGTGTTGTATAAAGAGCAACAAAGTCCAGGTTACAGCAAAGACCCACTGAGATTGAGCGACACCATGCAGAGTTCAAGCCCATTCATTTTCTATTACAACCAAGCTAATCACATCGCAAGGCAGCGTAGGATTCCAGGGGACACAAGCGAAGCAACCAAAGAGGATGGGTCGAATGTTAAAACATTTTTGACTTTATGCAAAATTCACCTAGTGGAGCACCAGTGCTTTGTCTAAAAATAGAAATGTAAAAAGAAAAAGTAAATGCAGTGGTGAGCCAGTAAATGTATCTGCTCTCTCGAGGAGAAGATCTTTGTTATACTTTCTGAGATACCTCTGTTCTAAGTCCTTGACCCCAGGATTGCAGATAAAAACCAAAAACAAAGTCCTGCTTGGTTTAACACAATTAACACAATGTTTGCTAATGCGCAAGCTACTGGCTAGCTAGTGAGCACTGAAACGGCTACAGCAACAAACAAGGGGTTGCAGATGTTGTGTTGTCGTGCGATTTGTTTGTTTCCAGTGGGTCTTTACTGTAACTGTGAATTTTTTTAATTTTTTACTTTAAACCCAGTCCCATATCACTTGGAATTCCACAATGCCTTGCCAAGCGATTTGCTTCATTCCCATAGAAAATGAATGGAATTAAACCTTGCATCGCTTCATGCTGCAATTAGTGGGTCTTCACTGTTAGAATGAGGTTGGAGTGGATGGATGAGTTGACAAAACACAGGTCTTTGACACAAACACTGACTGTTGTTTACTTCCCATTTGAAACCACAACATTAACTGCATTTTTACAATCATCACCATGGATACGAAGGTCCTCTGACCTTAATCAAGTACTTACTTCAACCTAAACCATAATTTTCCCCTAAACCTAGCCAAATAGTTTTTGTGCCTGAACCAAACCAAATTGTGATTGTTTTGTAAGTGCATGTTTGTATTGTAACCATGATGACGAAAGTCTAGTACAACCCGCTGGTCCACCCTTCATGTTTATTATTGAAACCACAGCAATGAAAGTCCAGTATGCCATAGGGGTTTTATTTCAGGAGACACTCCTAGATAAAGACCTATGTAGTTCTTTTAGTTGACGTACTTGTTGGATTAGTAACACCTGCACTTTTCCTACTAGAACAAGCCAAAATGCCTGCTGTAAAAAGGTGCTCCGACAGCTCTCAAGAAATAAAAAAAAGGGTTCAAACTTGATTTTCAAATGGAACCAATTATTTGAAGAATGCATGAATCAAAATTTTCTCTTACTCACATATAGCACATGAAGAAAAAAATTCTACTCTTCAAAATCCAGGCAACATACACAGCTGTAGAATAAGACTGAGGTTTAGAAAAATTTGAACAGAAATAGATAATGAGCTGCTCTCATTTCTGCCTCAGCAACGACCACTGCTTATGTTGTCTCGGTATATTATCATTTGACAAGACAGACAGACCAATTGGTTGACAATGTCTGAAGTAATCAATAGTACTATTAAAAGAACATATCAGTTTCCGGGCCAAATAAACGCGGGGAATGTTTGTGTTTCTGACAGATATGAATGTTGTCCACCACGCTTTGACATCTGTCAGATGAGACACACCATAAATACATCAGGTAAATGCATGCTTACAACTCGGATATCGGTGATGACACAAAGAGAGAGAGACACACATACACACCCAAACAGACATGCACTTTGACACACACACACACACACACACACACACACCCTGGTTGGGTGCGTCATCTTTCAGAGTTGTCTGTCAGCTGTGTTTTGAAGCCCGCAGTGCTTTCTCATGATTACGCTGTCACTGCTCCTTTCTTCAGCATTCAGTCAGAAATGAGAGCTCATGCATTTGTCTGTTCATCTACCCATTCCTCACTCCCCAAGTCTACGTTTCTCTTAGAATCAACTTCTCGTAAATATTTTCCTGCTTCCCAATTCAAAGATGAAAGGGAGGAAAAAATACTGGGTTGGGAAATGACAAAGAAAAGAGGATGAAAGAAGAAAGCACAAAAGAGAAGTAGTAGGAGGAGAAGTAGGCAGATAAATATACTGATGTTGTGTTTTCAGCATAATCATAAAATATGTTGGTTGTAGATGATAATTCTAGGTTTTGAAAATGTTTGATAATTAAATGCAATACCATATTATGACTCATCTAGGACTGTGCAATGAATGGTTGTCTATGTGCCTGTGCCAGAGCTAGAGGCTATAAAGGAGACATGATCCACCATGCTGTGAAATTTACATGCTTATTTCCATTTTGATTAACATAAGATCAACAGAAAATCAATTATTTCATAGATGAGTCAGGAAATAGTAGAGCCAGTATGTGAAAGAAAGGGGTGTCAGACAGAAACAGAGTAGTACAAATTTAATTTGCTATACAAACGCAATCACTCTCATGCAAGCAGAATTTCAAAAGGATGCAAGCATATCAAATCTGACTTCAACCTGTGGCCTATTTATGCCAACAGTACTTTCAATCTGTTGTCAGGATGATGTATCACCATCATCATCTGTCGAGTCGAAGAAATGTATTTATGTAAATTTTGTTTATGGATAGCATCTATCTCTGTAGTAGGACTGAGGCCAAACACATAAACAGCTAAAAGAGCATTGTTGTAGCCTTCAGGCTCAGGGGTGCAATAAGTGTGTGGGGGGGGGGAAGGAATGTGTAAATATAGTGTTACAGTACAGTGCTATTATTATTATTATTAGGTTTTTTTTATTGTTTCATATCAAAACAATGGAAAATTTTATACAAAGCATAAACATCATCTAAAATTTGAATATTGTGTTCAGCCAACAAAAAAAAAAGCAAATATGTTACATTTCCATTTAAAGCAGGTAAATCCTAAGTTTAATGCAGATAGGTCATACTGTAAATGACCTCCTTCTCTGCTTCCAGCCACCTAGTGTACTGCCTGCATGGTGATACTTGTTGCCATGGATACAATCAAATTTAACTACTAAATGCCAGTTAAGTGCACCTTCAGTTTGCCTTGCAGGTGGCATCTCGGTGGTATTGCTTTAAATTGGCTGATTAGCAAAAATAATGAGCAGGACGCTGCAGTGATACATGTGTATGTAGCCAAGCTAATGTCAGCCAGTGTCTCTCTCATGGCATGTGTGGGGGTACAATGACCTGCATGGTTCCATAATTAACACAGAGTAAAAGCCTTTTTCTGTCATTTTTTCTCTGGCTGTGCAGATCATCTTTCCACTGGCTGTCAAATAACAGATTGTAACAAGTTCTCTTTGTGGAAATAAAAGAAAGCTTTCATGTCTTTTTGTTTTGTTGGGCAATTATCCAAAGTAATGCAGAAGATGCATTTAGTCTGAAGGACAGCATGTGTAGTAGAAATTAGAATTACTAAGTATGACCACTTAATATTTTGCCATTTGAAGTGGAAAATGGATGTGGATATATAATGTAATCATTATGAGTTCGGTCCCAAACTTCACTTTGATTGCACTTCATAAAATAAAGTGAGATTTTTATCATTGACATACTGTCAGCAGCCATCAAATTGTTGCTCTTTGTAGTTGTATACACCTCACATCCCAGACCCTTAACCATTGTGCAGGTGCTTTTACAGTGATGTAGTGAAATCAACATGTAATTTTTAAAGTCTGATAAATAATAACTGCCAGTATCATCTATTTGACGCTTATATTGGCTGTCACATGCATGTGAGCATCTTGATCACCTTCGCTTCACATCTCTTGTGGAAAAAAAAAATACATCTGGGTCAGGGTCCAAAACGGCATGCTCTCCTGGGTCAGGGTCTGAAAACCTTGGCCATCTTGTGTGCATGACCGTCACAGCTGCCCTTGATAGAGTACAAGTAGTCCTCCCCTGTTACTCTGCACCACAAGCTCGCTCCCTCTTTCTCTCTTATTCTCTCCATCACCCAGTGGTCTGCAGGTGGTGGAAAAACCCTCCATCCTCAATACAGTCTCCCTCCTGACATCAAGGACTCAGCCCAGCCGGCAACCCTTTTTTGAGCAGCACACCTAGCTCTCATAAAACAATTGGAAAACTGTCAGATACCACCACTGTTTGTACCATAAACGTGACTGAAAAAGATGATGAGAGGAGCGGGGAGAAAAAGACAGAGAGAGAGAGAGAGAGAGAGAGGGAGCGAGAGAGAGAGAGAGAGAGAGAGAAGGATGAAGCAAATGAAGTGATGGAAGGAAGAAGAGAAACTAAAGAGGGAGGCAAAAAGTAGAGCAGAGGACAGAGTAATCGAGAAAGATGAAAGGGGAAATAGAGAGCAAGAACTAGTATGAGAACAAGAGTGAAGGGTAAAGCAGTGAAGATTGAGAGCCATGTATTTGTACCCAGTGAGAGGCAGCATGGGATCATTTCAGAAACACTGAAGTAAGAACAAAGGGAACAGATGTAATTTCCTATGCCCCCCCCCCCCCAACCCCAGGTGTTTATCATGAAAGGACAGGCTCGGCATGGTTGTGTGCGCGTGTGTCATGTGAAGAAGCAAGGTAGCACGTAAGATTGAGAGGTAGTGTGACTGTGTAAGAGTGTGTCTCTATATAAGATGATGCACTCTTATCTTATCCAAAGTTATCCTATCATATCCTGTGCACTCCTCTCTACCTTCACCAACCAATCTCATTGCAATCTTCTTGAATGCAAAATATGCTGTTTGGAAGTGTGTTGTTTCCTGCTACTTGTTAACTGAATATATTTTGTCTATCTTAAACTTACTATAGTCAGAGTTGTCCAGCACCTGGAAGAATATATGTAACATTTCACCTGTACCTGTAAACAAATATGTTTATTAAATATTATACTCTTACTAGTCATAGTTACTAGTCAAAAATGTTTTAATTTACTTCATTAAATTTTAAATAAAAAAGTAATACCAATATATTTCTCACAGAATTTTATAAGACCCTATGATACATGCAATGGAAATTTTTTGTGCGCTGTCAACAAGTGTCACTGCTCACTAAGAGCAATTTTCACAGCAGCACTGTTTTACATCTGAATCTGTTTTGCATTTATTTGGCAAATATTTAAAGCCAATGAAATTTTGCGCTACAGGCTGTTTTCACAGCAGACATGTTAGTTAAAGCACAGGTTTAAGTATTACATGTGACAATGGCTCTGTTTTATTCAACTTTCCCCAGTAATTCCGTAGTGTGCCAGTGAGACAACGTGTACAATACCAGGACCCTGAAACCAAATCAGCTAAATGATATTCAGCCATCAATGATTTTATTATTTACACCTCTGCTTTTACTACTGTGACATATCAAATTGTCTTCTATGAAAATGCCTATTGGGTACAGTATCACTTGAAACAATAAAATCTCTTTTACAGCAATTGTAACCTGTAAAGCTGCCATTTATAACCTCCTGTGGATTCAGATGGCAAATACAACCAGTAGATATTACATTTCAACAGCGCCTGTTCATCATTATCTTCATATTAGCACATTACTGTTGCATTTAGGTGTACTATTGATATACTGTAACTCAATAGTTGACTTTTTTACACTGATCACTAATCCTCCTTGTTCTTGCCTTTTCTCTCCCTCTCTCACTGTCAATGTCTTCCTGTCTTTCTCTTGTGTGTCCTTGTTTATTCTTTCTGTCTCTGTGTATCTGTCGTTTCTCTCTGTCTACTGTTTGCTTTAGGGGCGGATGTGATCAACTTTGATGGACAGGGTGTAATCTCATATCGTTTTAAGGTACTGGATTTACTACCTTGCTATTGTATGTTATTTTGACTAAACCTTCCCGTTAATTAATTCTTGTACATAAAGGTTAGATTATAAAAAATCAACAGGTAGCAATATAATACAATGGGAAAATAAATTTGTTGTAGATTTTGAGACGAGAGTGCAGGCTTTCTTGTATTTTACTTCTAAAGTTTAAAGACAATTGTTTTTTTCTTTCTTTTTTTTCTACATTTCTTATTGAAAATTGGTCACCTGTGGTGTTAACAATCATTTGGGGGTCATGATATTTGTTTTTGGTTCATTTGTGCAGATGAAGAAGATGAAGATCATTAAGGATGTGATTGCACTGAGGTTCAAGACGTCAGAAAGCGAGGGTGTGATTCTCCATGGGGAGGGACAGCAGGGAGACTACATCACCCTGGAGCTTCACAAGGCAAAGCTGCTGCTGCAGATAAACCTGGGTAGGCAACACGTGTGTCATTTACTTAGTCAAAGCAAAGTTCCTCTGACACGTTTTTGATGTAGATAACAGTTTTCCAGCGCACTTTCTCAAGAGCCATGGTGGGGGCTTCCAAGTTTCCTGTTCAATTCAATATTCCTCATATGCACACCTTCCTGTTATTCATTCTCATTTCCTCTATTCCCACATGTACACACATTCACATAGTCACACTTTGGCACAACCACTATACCATATGATCATTCATTATACCATAATATCTTGAAATGAAAACAGAACTCTCAAAGACCAACTCAAGCAGTCTTGAAATACTGCATATTAAATATCCAAGTGATACGTCTAAGGTCCAACAGACCAGGTCCAGCTCTGGTCTGTTGGTTGGATAGATAGATAGATAGATAGATAGATAGATAGATAGATACATACATACATACATACATACATACATACATACTTTATTTCTCATACATGCTTTCATAGTTGCTCAGTCAAATGCATATTGTTGTGTTTGCAGCTCTTTGACAGGTCTATGGAACAATCATCACCATCATTTAATGCTTGACAATAACCCTAAACTTTTGTTTATACCATGTCTGTCAAGCAACCCTGTCTCATAGAAATTATGTTTCTAATCACACAAACTGGAACAGCCAGTTTCAACTGTTTTGTAGGAAATGTAATTGCTGGTTGGATTATGTTCAGAGGCAACATATTTTTTTTGAATCAATGAAATGTTACATTTATCAACAGCAGTGGAGTCCCCAGGATGAGTTTGGGGTGGATAGCAATTGTACAGAGCGGATGGCTGTCACACCAGAGACCGGGGTTCACATTCACAGTACTGTCTGTGTGTAGGTTCAGGCAGCCACACATTCTTGGTTATGGAAAGATCATGATTTTGGTTAAATGTAAATGAACACTTTGGAACTTTTTTGTACATTAAACCAGACCATTATCTTTCCCTAACCTTAACCAAGTGCTGTGAGTGCCGCAACATAACCATAAAAACGATCATAATGGATATGAATGTTCTAATGCAAGATATTAATATTTTATATATACAGAGGATATTTTGGCAGAAAACAAATGGATTATCTATTAACATTTTACAGATATGTGCAGTATAACTGTAATTGCGACTTCCCTAATATGTAAATTAACAACCTATCCTCATTACGTTAATAGAAAACGTGTTGTACAAAATGTGCTGTTCCAGTTCCAGAAATATATATAGAAATGTAATTTTTAGGAGTCAGGTTTTGTGTGTGGAGCATCACTCACTGTTGACCAGCTGTGTTGTTGACAGGACTGGTTTAACCTTTAAGGATGTTTTACTGCTGCACGGAAGCAACAACAGCGGTGATACATTCCCACACCGAGTATTACAACTAATTGAATTCTGTATACACTTCAGGCTGTTAATGAAATGTGAGGTGTCCTATTGTTGTTAAATTCTTACCAAAATTACTTATACGTGTATTCTAATGTATATGAGAATAACTTGATTTGGAAACATGTGAAACAACTGTACAAAGACCTGAATCAATTTGTGCAAAGTGCTGTAAAATTGAGTCAACCTTTAATCTTGCATACATTTCATAGCTGTGACAGAGTATATGTAAAAGTACAAAACACATGCAGAAGGTATAGGTATAGTCAGTCTTTTGTGAAGCACTGAAATGATTTCTGACTATTTTGGCAAATAACCTAAGACTGCTAGAGCAGTCATATAAATTTCGTGTTTACTCGTCTAAGCTACCCAGAATATTAAAACCACTTTCATTTTTCAAGTGTTGCTTGAAAACAACACTACTACTACTACATACTGAGCTGTTCTTCACACATATTTTACTCAACATTTTAATGAATTCTTGGTTTGTCAATACATGTTACTTAAGTTTCATTGTCCAAAACCTGTGTTTTTATAACTGATATTATTATGATATGTTAATTACAGGTAGTAACCAGTATGGCTCTATCATGGGTCATACCTCTGTGACCACTGGCAGCCTCTTGGATGACAATCACTGGCACTCAGTGGTGATTGAGCGCTACCGTCGTAATGTCAACTTCACCCTGGACAGACACACTCAGCACTTCAGGACCAATGGAGAGTTTGACCATCTAGATTTGGACTATGAGGTGAGAAGCAAAGGGCGCAAAGGATCCTGAGTATACTGACAGAAAATTTGAAGAACACAGGAAGTTAACCCAGCCTAAAATCCTAATACAAACACACATACAGAAAGTGACAGGGAAATATGCCATTTATAAAATTCTTTAACTAGCTAACAAGAAGCTAACATTTACGTTGAGTTGTTGTTTGCCAAGGCAGCATAGCAGCTAAACTGACTTTTTCTCAATGTGCATAGTGAGAAAAGAACAAATACAGGACTAATTATGAGATTCAAATGAAATAATAAAGGATTAGGTGCTGTTTTTTAAAGTAGTGCATTTTCCAAGATGCATCTGTATGTTGGTGATTGTGTAATTTAATGTTACAATAAAAACTTACATTCAATTCACTTCATGGAAAGAAACATAGGGCTGTTATTTTTCAGTGAGGGGTCTTGCTCTACCCCTCCCATACCTGTTCGTTCACCGCCACAGTATAATTTGTGTGTAGAAAAGTTTTTACACTTCTTGTGATAACATTAAGATCTCTAAAGCAGTGTTCAAGCAGTTCAACTCAGCCCGTCAATCACTCACTCACTCACTCACTCACTCACTCACTCACTCACTCACTCTCTGTCAATGAACCCGTCTGTCATGGCCATTGGAAGAAATCCATAAAGTTTTTATTGGCTCTCTCTATCACTTCACCGGTCCTCTTTGTGTGCCTGTGCGCAACCAGAGCGGGCTGCATGAGTGTTTGCCGGGACTTGGCTCGTACAATACACTACACTATCTTGGATCAACCCTCACCAATCCCCCAATGCCACAAATAGAATTTGATTCTGTGGATGAGATGGGAGACAGTCAGTGATAACTAAACGATGATTATTGTGTATATATTTCATATCACACATCGCAAACACAAAATTGGTGACGACCAGTCGTGTGGTAATGAGCGGTAATGAGCTCAACCTTGTGGTATCGTCATATTTTACCATTCTTCATAATATGGTTTTAGTTTGGAGTCCTCTTAACTGCTTTTAACCTCTCCTACACTTAGATGCTACTTTTAATGCCAAGTGGCTTTGTGAATTACTCGTACTCCTACTAATCTAGAAGTTAGAAGCTACATTTAGTCTTAAGATGCTTTGTGAACACAAGCCCTTGTGACAATTCTGATTTAAGAGTCTTGGACAGTACTGATGTTCAGAGCAGAATACTGTCTCTTCCAATTGAAGTAATTTTCAGATGCAATCTGATACCTCCAAAATTGCTGGGAGTCTCAACATGGTTGTCCAATTATTTCAATTCTATGATGGACAATGTCTTATCTTTACTTATTAGCTATTCTTGTTTTATCCTAGTGTTTCCACCAAGTTAGGTGTCCGTACTACTCACAACTGGATTTTAAATAACAACTAATCTAACTGTTGGTAGCTTGGCCTCCTCTGTCTGTACAGTTCATTGATAAAAAAAAAGAAGGAAATTAGGTATTGGTTTCACACTGCATTGTAATGCTAATCCATGAAACTCACATAATTAATGTCAGTCAGTAATGGAACGCAAAGAGTTCAGCTAATAATACTTAAAAGAGGAAATTGATTTTGGAATGTATAATGAAATACACGTGTGCAGCCGTATATGGTGAATCCATATATATGGGTATGCTTGTGTTTGTATGTGAGTGGGTTTGTATTGATATGTTTCTGTGTGAGTGTGTGACCTTTACCATGTATTGCTGATATGGCTGATGTATTCCAGTGTTAAGTAGGATACGGGGAAATGGGGCAGGACAAACCACAGTCCAATTAAACTGAAGCTGTTGAATTAAGGGTTCTTCGGGGAAATCTATACAACAGGGTGAACCAGGAGGTTTTGTGTGCATGTGCATGTGGTGTGTCTGTGGTGAACCCTGAATGGATCCTGGCAGTGTTATTGCCTGACTGAGTCTCTTTACAGACTGCGAAATTGTGGCTAGCTTTTACTCACAGTGTACCACTGTACGTGTGTATGTACACAACCGTGTGTCTTCTGCTCCCATTTAAGCCTGTAGACTAAATATCTGGGTGCGTTTGTGTCTGCCCTTGGCAGTAATTACTAAGACTACTGGAGCATCACCACAGACACATACAAACACACATACATTGAGATAGACAGACACATATCGACTGGTAATTGCACACTACCCTCCATCATCTTGTCTCCCCTCAGAGCTCAGTGCTATGGCTAAATGAAAAAAAGAGCTGAACACATGTACAACTGAAAAAAAATTTAATTCAGTTTACATTTTCATCAGTTCTGTGTCCTTCACTGCTTCCCACCAGATGCCTGTTTATTACCCTCCATGTCCTCGCCTCAGTCCTCTTCTGATCGCATCTGTTACCCACAAACCGGTCTTCTTTTCTTTAATGCTTTCTCCCACTGCTCCAGCAGGCACATATAAATGTATATAATGTAGAGTAAGGTCCGTGACCTCACTGTATAATGTATAATATATAAATAACAATAGGACACTGATATGCAAGTATTTGGGAAAGAAAATGTTGACTGTTGATTTTTCAATATTGTCCTTGATGTAATGTTGACCAAATACCTTGTGATTTTATTTGGTGTTGACAGTAATGGTCAAATATATGTAAAATGAGGAGTTAGTATGGATCAGACCTAGTCCCTCCATCTGTGCATCCATTAACACTGGCCTAACGGTGACGCTACCGTATTTGACATTGGCATGTTCTGATTCCACCACATTTAAAGAAAAATGTTAGTTATATATGTAAACTTGATCTTTCTTGCACTGCCCTTCTTATTTTGGACCGTCATGAACCTCCAGATCAGAGCTCGACACAAAAACAATATCCAAACACGTCCTTGTAACGCAGATACTCTTAGTACCACATCTATCTGGGACTTTTTTCATAATAGTCCATTTGATGCTGTTTTAGTGATTTTCGCAAAGCAAACAGAGTGTGTTTTATATGGGTGATTTGCAATATAATATTAAAATGTTCACAAAAATGTCTGTAATCCCTCTCTGTCTGGTGAATGGCTGAACAGTAAAGGCAGATTTTTTTTTTAAATTCATGTAGCTTTTTCAATGTTATAGCAGTACACGGAAAAACAATGGAATGTAAAAGAATTCTTAATGTCTTTTTTCCACTTTCCATCTCTTTTTACCTCTTTGCCCTCTGTCTCTCTCACTAGTTGAGTTTTGGAGGGATGCCATACAGTGGGAAGCCAGTTGGAGGAGGGAGGAAGAACTTTAAAGGCTGCATGGAGAGCATCAACTACAACGGAGACAACATTACGGACCTGGCCCGCCGAAAGAAGCTAGACACCTCCAGCTTTGTAAGGGAAATCTGCTGAATACTGAACATGCTCATTATTTTCAAAATAACTCTATATCTGACCTAAGTGAGGGGGCAAATTATTCACTGCACCAAAAATAGCTTAACAGATTCATAATTAATCAGATACAACTGACCCATCAGTGGCACCTCCATGTGTTTGCCTCCTGTCTTTGTGCTCCCTCTTGACATCATGGCTGCCATTTTATTGCAGCCTACAAAGATCTTAACAGAATAAGGAGTATATTAAATGCCTTGCTTCTCAACATCAAACACACGGCATCTGGGTGACTGCTGGATGTAACTTCAGCACATTAAGTGTTTTGCCATCCTTAAAATTAGTTACTGAACAGTCTTTGACGGACTATAAAGTCTCAGAGCTCTCTCCTCCTTCTCAACAGTGGACGTCCAGTATATCGTCTTCAATCTCTGGTGAACTGACTGACCAAATACAGGCACTAATCAAGTCCATTAAAGCTGCACCTCTAATTCTCTCTGATTACTCACACAGCCATTCTTTTCTAATCAAAACAGATCCGCTCTCAAATTTCAGAAACACACATATACACACCCGCAGGCAGAGGTAATCAGGAATCATCTATAGGCAGCTCAATATTGTGCATTTGCTAATGATTTGATTAAGGGCACATGGTTGGAGAAGCTCAATGATAATTAGTGCCTAAATTCCACACTAGTGTTTGTTTTCCTCCTGCACTCAAACATCACCCAGGTTATTGTTCAAACCTGGTTTGAAAGACAGGGTGAGTCAAAAAGACACATTATTGTGATGTGTACGAGCAGCATCAGTCTTTGAAACTAGCTTCAGTCGGGAACATCTGAAGGTAAACATGCAGACACTAGATTCAAAGCAACAAAAGTCTGGTGAACAAATACATGATTGTTACATAGTGTTATGACATTTAAATCATTCAGGCAGCTTCACATACAAGCTCACTTCCAAGGGATTTTTGTTTGTTTTTGTCTGTATCTCTTTGTCTCTCGCTCTCTGTCTGACGCTCTCTCTCTCTCTCTCTAAATCTGTGTCTCAACAGCGTAACCTGTCCTTCTCCTGTCTGGAGACCCACAACTTCCCAGTCTTTTTCAATGCCACCAGCTTCCTGCAGCTGCCAGGTCGAGCCAGTCACAACATAGTGTCCGTGGGTTTCCAGTTTCGTACGTGGAACTCTGATGGACTCCTCCTCTTCAGTAATCTTGATGACGGCACGCTGGAGATCTCCCTCGAGGACAGCAAGATCGTAGTTCATATCAATGTGTCCAAGGCGACAAAAAACTACCAGGTGGACTTATCATCAGGTGAGTTGTCAACAGATACACCCACATAAAGATGTGACCAGTTTAACTGTGAAGTTGTTTCGTTTAATTTTATATTAACATCACAGATTAAGACACTTAGACTAACCAGTTCTAATCAGTGTAACCAATTCAATAGTAAGTTGCATGGTAACAAAATAATTAAACTATTCATGTAATCATCAAGAAGCCTGTCACTGTATTATGTTCTGTTCCGTTCTTAGTATATCATTACCACCAATATGGAGAAATTAAGATTTCTTTAAGGACATTTCATGAACACTGTCAATGTTTGGTCAAGGTTAGATCAAGAGAAAACATTGTGGGAATTTTTACATTGTACTGTCCTGCCAAACTGCGTGCATGTGTGTATTTGGCTGGTGTATGGAGAGTTTAGTAGAGTTTGAGACAACTAAATCCACAGTTGGAAACGTCCTGCTGAAAAAGCGATGCATTCTGCTGTTGGCTGAAAGACTTTTTATCCTGGACTTTACTTTACAGTCCATTTCACTCATTTCTCTTGGACACTTTTATATTTTTAAAATCAGAGCGAATCTTCACATAATCGTCTGTGATACAAATTAGTAATCTAGTTGCATTCTGCCTATTTTTTCAAACAATCTCAAACAGTACTGTCTTTACTTTTAAAGCATTAACATAATAACTACATCAATATTACTATGGTCACAGTCTCAATTAAAGATATTGCTCCTGGTCTGGGTTATATCTCACCTCTCCATTGTCTCTGTCTTTACATGGTCTTGATTTATGTGGTCTTGAGGCCAACATCACTACTAAACACTCTAATGATAGAGGAGGGTTTCCAACAAATAAAACACATGAAGAATGCTTTGAGCTGTAGCAATGAGAAACTATTTTTCTGCTTCCTCTGACATGACAGACAAAGTAAACAAAAAGCTAAAAATGTTTATACATAAAGCATGTTCAAAGATTTGTAACTAGAGGCTTTGACGGTCTATTGTATTACTAGAGCTCAACAACAGCCGCACATACAGCCATACTTTGAACACATTCATCATTATGGTAAATGAAACCTGACTTTCAACAAATGTGCCTTCAATGGCCCTTTTCTTTCCATTTTACCTCCTATCCTGCCACCTCTTTTACCCTCCCCTTCTTTCCTTACTCCTTATTTCTTGCCTGTCCTTCTTTCTCACTCCTTCTCTTTCTCTCTCCTTAGACAAACTCATTTATTCTGTCCACTGCTGATTTAATAGGCCATTATGCCCAGGGGTAGGGATTATTACATAGTTACCCTCTAGGCTAATTGGGCTTGAGCCTGCGATTACATCAGTATTACTAGAATACACAGACATACAAACACAGACTCACACACATAAACATGTACTCCCTCCTTTGATTCTGTTATTAGTATCTCTAAGAAAGAAAGCCACATTGACTCCTGGCTTCAGTGACACAGTGGGAGCTCAGTAGACTTGTAATGAAACGCTTAGTCCCTTTTAATGGCAAATATAGTGGGGCACACACATTGAAGAGGAGGAGGAGAGAGAGAGGGGGAGAAAAGAGAGGTTCTTACGGTGACAATCCATTTTTTTCCCAGTGGGGATCATTTGTTTATGAAGCTGTTTAGTGACAGCTTATTCAGACATATAATAAGGCATCTGCTGGAAGGTAAAACCATACAAACCTAATCCACTGATCTTTTCATTTGTGACTTTTAACCCATTTAATCATTCAACTGACATACAGTACATTTATAGAACACGGTGGTAACACAGTGGTGTGACTTATTTTTCAAAAGGAGGGACACAAATGGGGTTATACAATAAGAACAAATAGAAATAAAATGTGTTATGTAGTACAACATCTTTTGCACTGACAGAATAGGCCGGGTTTCAGAGATAAATCCCTATAAAGTTAGTGAGAGTTAAAGTTAGAGCTAAATCTTAAAACAATAGAAATATGCAATAAAACAAAAAAAAAAAACAACAAAAAGAATAAACAAATGCTTTCATGTTGTGAGCTAAAGTCCTGCCTCTTTACAAGATCTAAACTGGACCACATGTACCATGAAGGTTTTTTTTTTTGGGCACACTGGGTAATGAACCACTCGGAAGGGAGGCCTCCCCAGGAGGCACACTTTATGTCAACAATGTAACAGTCTTTGATTTTTTTCTGGGCTGTTATCTGCAGTAGGTAGAGCCTTGAGAGAAACTCACAAACCCACATTATAAACTACAGCCACTCTCATATCACATGCACCACCTGATGTTTACCACTTTGGGAGTGTGATGTGAAAACAGGTGATCGAAATGTCTGACTTTCCAACCTACTAAACCATGCCAGCTTATCTAATATAAAGTGTATTATTTTAAGATGGAAACATTAATGGTAGTATAATATGCATCTTTTTGACTCTTGTGAAGTTTATTATGTTATATTTATATCAAATCAACTGCCTCCCTGTAAAGTCAAGCGGTTGCTGGTACTATTGTTTCTAGGAAGAATGAGCACCTTAGATTGCAGCAGTTGCGGTTTGATTCACTGTTTTGTAGAAAATGACAGAGACATGAAATTACTGAGAGCCTAATTTAGAGAGAAAGGTCTAACAAGCTGATGAGATCCAGATAGTTGATTTTCTCAGGAGCTGGTGGATCAAATCAAGGAAAAAATGCAAATCAATGTTGGATATCTGACAGGTGGTGAGTAATGAGACTCCGATAGGAAGTCCATGTCACTGTGTTTGTGCTCCGAGTGAGTCAGTAACACTAGACTTTTTACTAGAATTGTCTGCTCATACATTATCTAGTAGAATATATCCCTGCTACTTTCTACTCTTTAGCAAAAAATCTTTTAATGCAGGTAGCAGGATTCTTGTGGCTGTGTTAAGTGTTCCGTGTGTGCAGTTGCAGAGAATTTTATGTTTGTGTTGGGGATTATTATAATTATAATTCATCAACCTTTTTTATGCATGACTGTAGCATTCTGCCTCCAAATATTGGCTTGTACTTTCCAAAGTGCTTTCTCTGCAAAACCCAAGTGAATCAGCAGGTGCGCTTTATCAAAAGAAAAAAGAAAAAGAAAAAAAAGGGGGATTGGCGTGGGGCTAGGTGAAGGAAGGGAAGTGGTGAATTAAAGCTTCATATCTGTGATAGCGTCCAGTCACCTGAAGATCTCTTCATAACCTCATTCTTACCACAGTGGGTCCCAGGTCATTAAAGTTAATTTATCTCCCTGACTAGAGACTGAGCGATAGGCAGATCTTGCCTGCTACTACGAACACACATACAAAATGTGGGTGTCTATGGATGTGTGGTCTTGTCTGTGTTTGCAACAGCAAGAATTTACCCCAAGGTTGTTTGTGACCTGCAGAAACATCCTGCTCTCTCCTTTGAGAAACCTTCTGTCATTTCATCCACTTCCTCCTCTCAAGCCGAGAGATGGAGGATCAAACTAAAGGGAAGATGAGGCCTTTGAGAGACTACTCTAGAATTAGACTGTTGGTGTCTTTCTAGCAATATCTGTGTGTGTGTGTGTTGTGTGTCCATTAATAGAGGGTACTCAATTGTGATTCCTGCAGGGACTGTGATCTAATTTTCCCATCACTTTACTTTGACTTACTCATTAACTTTCAATCTCTCTTCTCTTCCGCTTTCATCACTCATTTATTAGAATTACACAACATCTTTGTTAAAGTAGGGCTGGAAAGTGTTTCTTTAATGACCATACAGCAGGACCAAAGTATGTTCTGATGTGCTCATATATAAATCAAGCCCCTGTTTTCCACATTACCCACCATGAAATGATCCAATAAACCAAAGCTAGTGAGAAGGGCTTCTTTTGTACCTAATACAGGTAGCTGGTGAATGCTGGTATTTGTTTTTGAGTATGTGTGTTGAAGATGCTATCCTCTGATCACCCTTTTGATTAATTATCTATTCAAACTGTTGGACACCAGCATTGATTCCATGAAAACAATACTCACTGTCTCCAGTGCTTTTGCAGAGCAGAAGAAAATCTAACTTCCTTTGAGTTCTCATGCAACAAAGTGTGGAAATATGTTTTTGTACTCCTGTTTAGTTGTCTAAGAAGACAAAAGATGTAGTGATAATTAATCTTAATGAATGAAATATATTACTATAGCATCAAGAAAAGATGAAAATATGATTTAGCTCTTTCTCCTTGCACACTTTTTGACAGTGACAAAACAAGAAGGCAAAGTAATCATAAACACAGTTGTGGATTGACCTGAGGCAAATTTAGAAGTGTTTGTTTGAAAATAGAAAGCTCATCGCCCAAATCATTACACTGCTGTCACCGTTCACTCCAGCAGTAAAATAGTACCAACATGTCCAATATTTCATGTTGCCATTGTTTTGTTTTTTTTATTTCAATTCTTGTATAAATCTTTCGTATCATTTGCATATCATTATCACAAATATTCTTTGTATGTTGAATGTATTATCTTTCCTTTCTGTAATAGTTTTATAAAACAGGTATTTTATGCAAGAGTAACTCTTTCATCTGCTTGGCTGTCTTGTTTGTTTTAATTGTTGAACTTACTTATTCTTTTCATCATTATCACTCTAAACCCATAGCAGAACTATTTTTGCTATGTTAAAAATGTGTTTGTGTGTGTGTGTGTGTGTGTGTGTGTGTGTGCGCACGCAAATGTTCTTGCATGGAAGCGTTTACACCCATCAACTCAGCTAGAAGTAATAACATCAGTTCCTTTGAGACGCAGAATTACTATCAGTCACACACACACACAAGGTTACTTGCTCAGTCCGAATAGAAAGTATAAGGCATTACAATAATGGAAAGGCCTGAGGCACAGATATAGGGGGGAAAAAAACACACTACAGCCACCCCCGATTATAATGTTATATTGTTTCATTCCCCCTGAGTGTGTGTGTCCCTGTGCCTGTGCGCATTTGCACGTGCATGTGTGTGTGTGTGTGTGTGTGTACTTTTATCCTTGTGAGGACCAGCTTGAGTTAAACTTCTTATAGTTATGCTTT